GCGAGCAGTCACATTGGAAGTCACCGGCGAGGGGCCGTCCTCGGGTGCCGGCTTATCGCCAATCGGGGCAGGAATCTGTTCCGCCCCGCCAGCGCCGGCGCCGGAGCCGGCGTCCAACCCCACCACGCACGCCCTGGACAGTGACTCCTCCGGGCTGTCGTGCACCCGTGTGGGCGTGGGAGCTGAGTCAACTTTGAGATATCCCAATTGCCTGGATGGCCGCATGAGATTGTCTACTCGACCAATTGCGACATATTGTGTATATCTAGTGGTGACACACCTTGCCATTGTGCACCTCCGACAGCACTCACCAGCCCAGGCAACTTTTTCTCCGGCTAGGCCGAGGCCACACCAAATCTCTTGCCAGGAGGGCCCCACGTCGCCTCGAAACCCTTAACCACACACATCAGCCATGTCGCCATTCAACCTCGAGACCTGTGCTCGGCCAAACATACTGGCTCTCGAGCCGTATCGCTGTGCCAGAGAGTGAGTGCGACCCTTCCTCCTCCCACCAAGTCCGCACACCCTCATCTGACCACCTCCCCAGCGACTACAAGGACGACGGCACCAATGTCCTGCTCGACGCCAACGAGAACGCCTACGGGCCGTCCCTGCCGTCCGCAGTAGCCTCCGGGTCCTCGTCGTCAGGCCCTGAGATCGACCTGCTCGGCCTGCACCGGTACCCGGACCCGCACCAACACGAGCTCAAGCAGCTGCTCTGCAACCTGCGCAACACGCACCACCACACCCCGAAGGCCATCACGCCCGCCAACCTCTTTGTCGGCGTCGGCAGCGACGAGGCCATCGACGCCCTCTTGCGCTGCTTCTGCGTCCCTGGCACGGACCGCATCCTCACCTGCCCGCCCACCTACGGCATGTACGGCGTCTCCGCCCAGGTCAACGACGTCGCCATCCACAAGGTGCCTCTCCTCCCTGCGCCCACCTTCGCGCTCGACGTCGACGCCATCCTCGCCGCCCTGTCCACCGAGAAGCACATCAAGCTCGTCTACCTCTGCTCCCCCGGCAATCCCACAGGCTCACTCCTCGCCAAGGACGACGTTCGCAGGGTGCTCGAGCACCCGACGTGGAACGGCATTGTAGTCCTCGACGAGGCCTACATCGACTTCTCTCCCGACGGCGCCTCGCTCGCCGAGTGGGTTGCTGAGTGGCCCAACCTCGTTGTCATGCAGACCCTGTCCAAGGCCTTTGGTCTCGCGGGCATCCGCCTCGGCGCGGCATTCGCGGCCCCTCCCGTCGCCCGGCTGCTCAACAGCCTCAAGGCGCCCTACAACATCTCGAGCCCGACGAGCGCTCTCGCATCCTACGCCGTGTCCGAGCAGGGACTGGCCACGATGCGCGGGAACCTGAAGAGGATCGTGACCCAGCGCGACAGGCTGATCCGGGAGCTGCCCCAGGTGCCTGGGATCGGGCGGCTGATGGGCGGCACGGAGAGCAACTTCCTGCTGTACGAGATCCTGAACGCGGACGGCAAGCCGGACAATGTCACGGCGCTCAAGGTGTACGAGACGCTCGCGGAGGACAAGGGCGTCGTGGTCCGTTTCAGGGGCAAGGAGCACGGGTGTCTGGGCTGCCTGCGGATCACGGTCGGCACGGAGGACGAGGTCACGAGATTCCTCGAGGCGCTGAGGCGGACGCTAGGCGAGGTCAACGGGCAGAGTGGGAGCATCGCTGCGCCCGCGGATGAGGAGAAGAAGGAGGTCGAGGCCAGCAATGTTGTTGCATAAATTGGGTGAAAGTTAGAGGGCGGTGATAGACATAATATTCATTACACTCATATAGGTGGTATAAAGATCATACATGTGGTGTGAGAGGACGTTTCCTTCGAGCCTCATGAGGGGACTCTTGTTGCCAGGATCTGTTTTCCCTGCTCTGGTGTCAACCCAAAAACGACGTCTGTTCAGGATCAAAGCTTTCACTTGATGGAGTTACTTTGTTCAAGCGAAATGAGCTAAATAAGGCAACACTTTCACCTTTTCGCCTCCTAACGTCTAGGCACATATTACGTATTGTCCGCATCCAGCATAACCGAAGTAATTTTGGTCCCAAACCAACATCACAATCTAACCATACATTGACTTGCAGTATGAAACCAGGCAATGGACAACAACAAATTAAATATTGCTCAATCCTTGGTTAACTTCTGTCTAACAAACACAAATCTCCCGTCTATCTTTGAACCACAAGTACTGTACAACACTTGCCCCAGGCAGGCTCACCTCGTCAGCTTGCCCTCCGTGCCCTGGGGCTGCGGCGGCGGCGGCCGAGTGCCCTTGACATGCTTGATCTCGCCGGCCTTGAGCGGCGCCGCCGCAGCACCCGACAGCAGGCCCTGGATCGTCTCGAGGGCCGTCATCTGCTCGCCGAGCCCAGTCTCCCCGTCGAAGCCGCCCGTGTACCACTTATGGCCGCACCTGTGGCCGCTGTCCCCGCCGGAGCACGCCTTGGCCGCGGCCATGGCGCTCGGCTGCAGCAGCGCCTCGACCGCGGGCCGCGTCTCGGGCATCAGCCGCGCCGTCATCCACAGGAACCGCGAGTTGAAGCCCTTGAACGACCGCATGTCCGGGTTGCACACGCCCGCGGCCTCGCACGCCGGCTCCCACATGACCCCCGGCGCGACGTTCTGCGGGCCGCCAAAGTAGATCTTGGCGGCGCTGAGCAGGCCCTTGGTGCGGTCCGCCCAGGCGCCCTTGCCGCCCGTGACGTCGTTCATGACGGCCGCGCCGTACGTGTAGATCCCTTGCGTGTACGTGAAGCGCACCTGGTTCGTGTCGGTGCACTGCTTGTTGGCCCCCGCGCCGTCGAACACGTTGAACTGCTTGTCGACGAACCCGATCTGCGCGGACCAGTCGTACACTTTCGTGGCCCAGTCCGCGTACGTCTGGTTCCCCGTGGCGCGGGCCAGGCGCGCCGACATCTGGAAGAAGCCGCCATTGCTGACCGAGTTCTTGTAGTTCATGCCGTTCGGGTTGTCGGGGAAGATCTGCCAGTTGAGCCCGCCGCCGCAGCTCGTCGTGTCCCACCGCCGGACCATCGTGTTCCAGATGTTCTCGGCGATGGTGAGCCACGGCGGGATCCGGTCGTCGGGCTGCGGGAAGTTGCGCTCCGCGGCGTCGAGGACCGCGAAGGACCACATGGCCTGGTCGTCGTTGCCCTCGCTGCCAAAGTGCAGCGGGACCATGAAGTCGTGCTTGGGGCCGACCTGCGAGAGCAGAGACTGCGTGATGGTCTCGTCGTAGGTGTGGTCGCCCGTGTAGTGCGAGTAGTCGAGCATTGCGGCCCAGGCGGCGCCGGCTTGCCACCAGTCTGATGGGGGCTGTCAGTTATGGCTTTTCGTGAGCAGGCGAGATGGGGAGGTAACTTACAGTGAGGGGCAGGGAACACTGCAATTGTCTGCGATTCGTCTTGTGAGCGGGTGATCCCAGGTTCGTGCAAATGTTCGACTTACCTCAGGTGTCATGGTGACATTTCCCGAGTAGTACGACATGGTGTCTTGAGCAATGGTGCGCGCGACGCCGCGAATAGAGGCTTGAGTGGAAATCAGTAAGGTCCGGGCGAATTCAAATAGAAGTTGTTGCAACGAACCAGCATCGTTGAGGACAAGAGCTGCGGGAGCCAGGAACTGGCTGACCAGGCTCGCCGGGTTAACCGACTTGATCAGAGGCATGGCTGATGGTGGTCGCTGAGTGAAAGTCTGGTTGTGTGTATGGAAAGTGTCGATGAAGGAAGGTGTCCAAGCAAAAAGTATACTGCAACAAGCCTGTGTTGCGTGAATGATGCGAAATGAGATCTGCTGGAGAATCTCGAAAGGAACGAGGCCAGGAAGTGGTGTTGTTCACTGTGAACGAATGGAGGCCAGATCTACTGCCGTAATGATAGAGCTCAACGAAAGAAGGCGCAAATGCAGTCAAGTGAACACACGACCTCGAGAAGTGACGAAATAGGAAAGAAGAGTACGGTAGCACGATGCAAGATGACAGACCGGACGAACGACGACGAACTTAGCAGCGGACATGTGATCTTTAAGGCATGACAGGCGGGCGCACGACCACCAGAGCACAGGAACACCAACTTAGGCGAAACAACGCCACTGCAGGGGCGCAACTACGCCCCAGGGCTCATGTCATCGTCCTGGTTGGTCCTTGGGGATCTGTGATCTGGGGGCCGGGCTCTTCTGGCCCGCCCTGGGAGCTGTCAAGCATGAAGGAAGGGAAACATCCCTGGAGTCCGGGCAGCGTGGAGAGTCGTGGGCAGCCCCTGATTGGCCCTGCCGCCGCCTTACCCCTGGCGATCAGTGGCTTTGTCCAACCTCCCAATGCGTCGTCACCAGTCAATCTAGAGCCCGATCCAGCGTGTTTCATGTTTCGAGCAGGGCCTGGGCGCCTACCGGCGGTGGAGACGCTGAGGGCCGACACAGTAACTTGGCGCCCTCAGGGGAGCTGTTCAGGGGTGCGGCGCCCAGTCCATTGGCTGCGATCTCCTGCGGTCCGCGGCTGAGCCAACACTCAAGGAACATGCGTGTTTGTGGAGGGACGACAAACTCAACACGTCAAGGTTCAGGATTCAGGCGAGAGAGTGGGATTGGGGTCGGAAAGTCAACGCGGGCGCTTGAGGTCCACGGTCGGCTGACGCGCGCTTAGGCGACTCTGCCAAAATAGAACACGGCACTGTGCCCACACGAGGAGCTATCCTGCAGGTAACAGAGCGGTTCAAAAGCAAAGTCAGCAGCCAACAGGGAAGGCCTAAAATTGATCTCGGCGTCGAGAACACAAATGTTATCAACTGGTGGGCCATCGACACCACAGCATGGCCCAGACACTGATTCACGCATCCGCGTTATGTATAAACACGTGCCAAAAGAAAGGACGACCTGGCCAGGCAAACAGAGGCCAGTCAGGTCAGCAAGTCGACCAACTGCCGATGGGAAAAAAATGAATCGGCACAAAAAGAAGGTATAACAGAGGTATTTAGCCTCCATACGATGGACTCGCGGGGAATCGAACCCCGGACCACTCCCAGATCAGTTTCTGTATGTAACAGAGATGCTAAGGGAGTATTATACCACTAAACCACAAGCCCGTGGATTGTTGGATTTTGAGGGCCATGCTGCGGGATATATGCTGTGATTTTTCTCATTGGCCGTAAAAGTGGAACCATTGTGCGAGAAGCACAACCCTCACTGGTCGCAGACGCTGGAGTGGGGCCGGTTGCGCCCTCTGCCGTGTGGCCAGGTCCTGGAACAATCTCGAGAGATGTCACAATGCGGCATTCTCCGAGGGCGGAGTCGCTGCCGTGGAGGATAGGACGATATGATTCGGCCTGGCGGAGCGGAGGGCTTCGGCATGAAAGCGTATCCAACAGCGAACCTTAGAGATATGTCTGGATCGTTGTATGAGAGTTTACACAGAGGAGAACAAAAGGCGGTGCGGGGGGGGGGGGGCTAAAACGTGCGCGAGCTGGGAGTAAACCGAGGCATGATTTGACACCATCCTGTTCCGTGTATATAAATCGTGTGACTAACAAATACTCTCAGTTCTCAATCGAGAGGCAGAAAAACCCCAGGCTGTAGCCTGATATGCACGCTGGCTGCGCCTCAGCACGGCCCCTGATAGGTGGCCTTGTATCGCATGTAAGCACCGCAGAGCCTTGAGGAAGGGAGGGAGGCGATGCTGCCTCACCATGGGACGGGAAAATAGCCCGCAAGCCGTACTGAAGAATTGCTGTCATTTGTTAGCCATTCGGCTGGACGTCTCCGTTATGTTTAGGCGCATCATTTATAACCTGGAGCACGTGTGCCTTGTCTCCCTGTTGAGCCAGCCCCCATTCAGCAGCAAACATTCGCAACAAGCACCAACAACTACTCTTCTGAAACTTCACGATGCGACTCCTCCATTTTGAGTCGGACAAGCTGGTCCTGACAAACTTCACCGGCAAGCCTATTCCTGCTTATGCAATTCTCTCGCACCGGTGGACTTCGGAGGAAGTGCTTTTCGACAATGTCAAAAGAGGCAACTTCAAAGAAGACTCTGCTGGATGGAGAAAGATCAAGTTCTGCGCCGAGAAAGCTGCCGCGGACGGTCTGAAGTTCTTCTGGTGCGACACCTGCTGTATCAACAAGTGGGATATGGCTGAGCTCGCCCGATCGGTCAACTCGATGTTCAAGTATTACCGAGATGCAGCAAAATGCTACGTGTACTTGCAGGACACTCAAGCTACCACAAGCGTGCCAGCCGCATCGCAATTAGCAACCTCCATCGATCAAAAGTTTCGACAGAACGAGTGGTTCAAGAGAGGCTGGACCCTTCAGGAGCTAGTAGCTCCGTCCTCAGTCGAATTCTTCAACGAGGAGGGTGAGAGACTAGGAGACCGGTCGTCTTACCGGCAGACCATCCACGAGATCACGGGGATACCCCTAGGCGCGCTGGGCGGTGACCTGGACAAGTTCAGTCGAGAAAATCGCCTAAAGTGGGCAGAGGGCCGGGTCACAACCGAGCCGGAGGACGGTGCCTACTGTCTACTCGGTATCCTGGGTGTCCAGATGCCGCTGACTTACGGCGAGGGGAGAGAGAAGGCGTTTGCACGGTTGCACAGGGAGCTCGAGGCAGACACGAACGCACCGTGCTTGATCCCATTCTCGCGGAAGGACTACACTATCGGCTACACAATCATCCTTCGTCAGCTTGAAGAAAGGTTGTTCGGCCACCAGAAAGCTCGCCTCTTGACCATCGTTGGCGAAGGTGGACTAGGGAAGTCTCACTTGGCCCTAGAGTTCGCATACAGTACTCGGGAATCGAGACCCGAGTGCTCGGTGTTTTGGTGCGACGCAAGTACCGTGGACAGCCTCCACCAGTCGTACAGCGACATTGCGCAGAAGCTCCGAGTCGCGAGCGATCAGGACCAGCCAGAGGATGTCAGGACCAGCCTGCACCGCTATCTTGGCAGCCACGATGCCGGTGAGTGGCTGCTCGTTTACGACAACGTGAGCGACGCCTCCACCATGTCTGCTGCGCTTGGCATCCGCACATCCGAATCTCTCACTCTCGGTCTCCCCGAGTCATCATCAGGGTCTATTCTGCTCACGACGAGGAACTTCGAACTTGCTAGCGCGATCTCGAGCGACTCTATACGAATTGCGGAACTCGATGTTTCGGACTCTGCGGCTATGCTGCAATGTTACCTTGCCGACGTGATCCAACCAGGAGATCAGAGCACGACCATTGCGCAGCTCGCGAGGATGCTGCGGCGGCCATTGGCCGTGGTCATTACGGCTGCCTATATTCGCACAGAGAGCATAGCCGTCGACGAGTACATTACGCAGTTCGAGAGATGGGCTCGCGAAGTCCAGGCGGACTCGTCAACATTATCAACCAATGCCGACCCTGTCGAGAAGGTGAGTTTGGCAGAACAGTCCACCAACCAAGTGATTAGGTTCACACTGCGTCGGATCATGGGTACAAACCCAGCTGCGGCAGAGTGCTTCCTCGAGCTGGCGTGTCTCCACCGGGCGGACGTTCCCCTGGGCCTCTTGTACGCTTGCCACCAGGACAAGACTCAGGATATCCTCACAACTCTAGACAACTACGCTCTCATCACCAGACTCCCTGCGTTGTCTGCAATCGACATGCATAGCCTGGTGCACCTGGCTGTGCGACAGGAGCTTGACAAGCTTGAACACCGGGACCGATGCGTTGTTTGGGTTGCATCGAAGCTGCTGGACACGTTCCCAGAAGTCGACGAGGACAGCAGAAGCCAGTGGCGACGCCTCCTGCCCCACGCGCGCGAACTCGACAATGTTGCTCACGCGTCGGAGAAACCCGCGTTGCTTGGCCTGAAGTACAGGTGCGGCAAGGCACTGTTCTATGATGGTCGGTATCACGAAGCCAAAGAGCTCCAGGCGGAGGTTCTGGAGACGGCCAAACGTCTGAAGCTGGATGGTGACTTTATATCTGTTAGCATGGCCAATTTGGCCATGACAGTCGCAAAGCTCGGCCAATGGAAGGAAGCTGAAGAGCTTCAGGTGCAGACTCTCGACACAAGCGAAACAGCACTTGAAGACCACGCCCAACAAATCAACAGACTGGCAAGTATGAACAACTTGGCCTCGACATACTCGTCGCAAGGTCGATGGAAGGAGGCCGAGGCCCTGCAGCTGAAAGCCGTGGAGGCCAGTAAGGCGGCTTTCGGCGTCGATCATCACTTGACTCTGAGCATCATGGCAAACCTAGCCATGACGGTTCGTGATCAAGGCCGGTGGCAGGAAGCTGCGGATCTTCAATTGCAGGTCACCGAGGCGATGACGAGGACTGCTGGGGAAGACCACCCCGGTACACTCACCAGCAAAGGTGCCTTGGCAATGACTTACAGGTGCCAGGGGAAGCTGGAGGACGCCGAGGCGGTCCTCACAGAGGTTCTCGCGAATGAAAAAGTTGTACTTGGGCCTAGTCATCCTAGCACACTCATGACTATGAGTCATCTGGCCACGGTAATCGGGGACCGAGGTCGATACAAAGACGCTGAAAAGCTTCAGCTGCAGGTCCTGGAGGCAAACAGGCAAGTTCTTGGCGAAGCCCATACTGATACCATGAGCTGCGCAAACAACCTGTCGAATCTCTACGTGGATCAAGGTCGATGGCGAGAAGCTGGAGACATTTTGAGCAAGCTTCTTGAAACTGCAAAAACTGTCATGGGGGATGACCACCCGTCAGTGCTTACTTGCAGGAACAATCTGACGGGCGCGTACCTGTCCCAGAAGCGGTTTCAGGAAGCCGAGAAACTTCAAGTCGAGGCCTTACGAGTCGGCAAGACAGTCCTCGGGCAGGACCATCCCGATCTTATCACCACCATGAGCCTCCTGGCGTCGGCGGTTGATGGGCAGCGACGATGGGTCGAGGCCCGGGGGCTTCACGAGGAAGTTCTACGCAGGTGCCAGACGACCCTGGGACTACGACACCCCCATACTCTAGTAACCATGACGAACCTGGCCATGACATATCTGCGGCTGCATCGGTGGAGGGACGCTGAGTGGTTCATGGTCGAGGTCTTCCGGTCCCGAAAGGCGGTATTCGGACACACACATCCCAAAACCCTGAAAGCGAAAGATAACATTGACGGCATTTTCTCGAGCTACATGAGACGGTTTGATCCCTCTTCGGAGTGGAGGATGTTCCGTTTTGTCTTGGTGGTCAGAGTGTCGCACTTGTATACGGAGATCAGTCGATAGGACGAATCCAGAGTATTAGAGATGCGTGATGTTAGAGAACTCGCGGAGCTGCATCCGAGAGCTGGTAGGGTGAGTGGTCGCAGCTGGATGCAACTCCGTCTTGGTGTACCCAGCAATTGGTGCCAGCCATCACGTGCAGCTGGCAGGTGGGTCTCCAACTTGGAAACTGGCGCCCGCTCATTGGCGCAGCTCCGTACGGTCGTCATGAAAGAATAGCTCCCGCAATTGAAGCACCTTGGTCGCAAGCCGACAACAGCCCAGCCCTCGATTGAAACCCCCGCGGCGACGACGACGACGACGACACACCGACCAGAGGGCCCATTCCACACCTCACCATGCGGCGGACACTCAGATTGCTCGCGGGCGTCAAGCCTGCCCGGTACCTCACCCCCGGCAACCCGACCGGCCTGACGGGCCTCTACACACACAGCTCGCCGCGGTCGAGCCTCATCTACATCTACTCCAAGACGCTCGACAAGCTCAAGGAGTTCCCCGAGTCGTCCGTCTACCGCCAGTCCGTCGAGGCGCTCACCAAGCACCGCCTCGCCATCATCGAGTCCGCCGTCCCGCCGGGATACGAGGAGTGGGCGGCCAACGCGGCCAAGATCATCAAGGAGAACCCCAGCGAGTTCCAGATCCGGCCCGACAGCACGCTGGACGGCGTCCACGCCGCCACGGTCGAGGCCGACGGCAACACGTTCCTGTACAGGTCCGACCCGACCGACGTGGACCCCCGGGAGATCGAGTGGGATGGTGAGGCGCCGGAGCGCGGCAACCAGGGTCTGAGGGCCGAGAAGGAGCGCTACGAGCTCGGATACCTCGACGCCAAGTCGCTGGAGCACCCCAAGACGGTCGACTG